ACGGAATTGTGACTTGTTTGCAGATCTGGCACCACACCTTCTACAACGAACTCCGAGTTGCTCCCGAGGAACACCCAGTTCTCCTCACAGAAGCTCCTTTGAATCCCAAAGCTAACAGAGAAAAGATGACCCAGGTAATAACCGTTCCCGTTTCCGTTGTAAACTGACTTTTGTTGGAAACTGCGAGAAAAGAGTTTCCGCCCCTCCCCCCTTTTTGTGTGCTGTCGAAAATTATGAAGGCTCCAAGTGCCTTTGTTATGTGCGCGGCTGACCGATTAATTTGTCATTCATTTCCTTGCACTGTGATTGTAAGTCAAATTGCAAATTTGAGCATTAATTAAAATTCTCATCGGCTTATTGTCATTTGAGTGGCGGCTTGCAACTTACCAATTTGTCCGGAAATGCTTTTACGTAACTCGACCAGAATGTTTTGCTACGTCACGAAACAATCCCGTGTGAAAGCGATTGGGCATTAAACAATACTACTTTTTTCAAAGTTTCAATGTTTCCATTGTTTGCCGATTTTAATATTGGACACTTGCATTTGCAGGAATTAATTTGCTTGACTTGCTTATTAGACTGCCTCTTGTTATAGTCTTCAAAATTTAGTAATTCAACTTGAGCAGTCATACGGACTTTAATATATTAATTTTACTGTTATGTCCACTTTGTAAGTTGAATATATTCCTGACTGACTGTTTCTAGATCATGTTTGAAACTTTCAACACCCCAGCCATGTACGTAGCTATCCAGGCTGTGCTGTCCCTGTATGCCTCTGGTCGTACCACTGGTATTGTTCTGGACAGTGGTGATGGTGTGAGCCACACCGTACCCATCTATGAGGGTTATGCTCTGCCTCATGCCATCCTGCGGCTCGACTTGGCTGGTAGGGATCTGACTGATTACCTTATGAAGATCCTGACAGAGAGAGGCTACTCTTTCACCACCACTGCTGAGCGGGAAATTGTCCGAGACATCAAGGAAAAGTTGTGCTATGTTGCCCTGGACTTTGAACAGGAGATGTCCACAGCAGCATCAAGCTCCAGCCTTGAGAAAAGCTACGAGCTTCCTGATGGCCAGGTGATCACCATTGGAAATGAGCGTTTCCGTTGCCCAGAGGCCATGTTCCAGCCTGCCTTCCTTGGTATGGAGGCTGCTGGTATCCACGAGACAACGTACAACTCTATCATGAAGTGTGATGTTGACATCCGTAAGGATCTCTATTCCAACATTGTCTTGTCCGGCGGTTCAACCATGTATCCAGGTATTGCTGACAGAATGCAGAAAGAAATTGCTGCACTCGCCCCACCAACCATGAAGATCAAGATCATTGCTCCACCAGAGCGTAAGTACTCCGTATGGATCGGAGGCTCCATCTTGGCTTCCCTGTCCACCTTCCAACAGATGTGGATCTCTAAACAGGAATATGACGAATCTGGTCCTGGCATTGTACATCGCAAGTGCTTCTAAATGCAGTTGGAACTTGAAAATTGAACAGTTGTGTTAACTTTGCCTGGTCAGAAGGGCAATAGCTCTTCGTGATCTGGAAAAAACTATGAAATGACACGGACTTGCAAGATCATGTAAATTTTTGTATAAGAGTAGTGGATATCATTTGAAAAATTGAAATATGTCAAAGTTTTATAGAGTTTTGAAGGTGTAATTAAAACTCTGTTTATATTGTATAAATTGTTTTTATTCTGATGCTTAAATAATTGACCTGTTGGGGGGTGGGGTCTAGGTATGTCGCTACATTTCAGACTTTGGTAGGACATAAGTCTTGTAATAATAGTTTATGCAGCCATGAATTTAGGACAATTTACCCCAGCCTGAATTCAGCAGAGTAATAATCATTGAATACCAAGGTTCAATTCAATGGTGTTTCTCCACCCTGGAAAATTAACTTACATATGATGTGAA